TTCCGTATATTAGCGTTCCGTCATCAAGGATCCTCATTCAGGAAAAAATTTCTCTGATGTTTCTGATGGAAAAATAGGAATCGGAACTTCTGGCTCGATACTGGGCTAACGGCAATGAGAGGCCCCACCCTACGTCACTATCTGATGAAAATACCGTCAAAAGCTCTCGAACAAGGTCAATGGTATTGCGTGACTTAATTGCGGACACAGGGGTCATGTAGAGAAATGGTTTCTCTGAATGACACTGTGTCAATGATTATCAATTCTCAGAAACGGTCAAATACTAGTTTATATAGTTGAAAAAATTGAGCAGCACAATATCACTATCCGATTAAAAAAACCGTCAAAAAGCTCATTGATAGAGCGCAACGAATCAACCAGCACAGTATCACTATGTGAACAATAAACCGTCAAATAGATCATTAGTGGAGCTTAATGAATCAACCAGCACAGTATCACTATGTGAACAATAAACCGTCAAATAGGTCATTAGTGGAGCTTAAGTAATCAACCAGCAAAGTATCACTATCTGATGGAAAAACCGTCAAATAGGTCATCAATGAGAGATGAGGGGTCGCGCAGTACGATATCACTATCTGATGAAGAACTGTGAATCGCTCACCAGCAGGTCGAATGATGGTGTGTGTCGCGAACTGATAGGAACCTCACTATATACTTTTATCAATAGAGTTAATAAGATTGAGCAACATTGTGTCGTTGTCATATACAAATCTATGAGGGTCTCCTTGCAAGTGATTTGACTTTGACGATTCTCAGATACTTCATGGGTTGGAAGTACTTGTTTTCGACAGCCGACGAGACGTTCGTACAGCCGCTATCGATAAGTTGTTTGAGTGCCTCACATCACAGATTGATGATTTCGATAACGACACTCTACTCATGGTTTTCAACGGCGTAATAGTTGGGACTAGATGACTTTCTCTTACTCATATCGTTAGGTATTATCTCCCTTGTTTGACGATATGCTGCATTTGTTGACGCCTGGTAACAGGCCACCCACCCCTCCGGTTGAGAGGAGTGCCACCGAGCAGGGTGTCACCAGCAGTAAGTTTATGCAACTTTATGGAGTATATTTGTATTTTGACTAGAACACTTAGCAAAGTTCACGGGCTATATATTTTGCTTTTCATTTATGTAGCAATTCGTTTATGCAACTTCTACATCAGCAATTATTTTTTGCACCAGTGAGTATCTCTTCCTTTTCTTCTGTTCAGGTACATGTTTATCGGCGGTATCGGCATTGACTCGTCTTGTGGACAAGCGCTTCGATCGCCTAGGGTTCCTCCTCCCACAGGTTAGAATGACGGATGTCGGAGAATTTTTTCTCGTGTTTTTCCGCAGATACTTGCTTTACTGGGAGCCTGTGTACATCACGAGAGTGAAGCTGTTGCTAGGATTGGTAAGCGGGAGGATCTGCTCATTTGGCGCGCATAAACTGATCGATGGAATTTCCGGTAACTTTAACTGTACGTGTGAAGTGTTTCTGGGAAGGCCGCCCAGATTTGTAGTTTCTCACGGAATTTCGAGCAGAGGGTACCACAATGAAGAGAGTGGCTCTCGAAATCTTTACTAGAGTAGTTGAGGAAGGATGTGATCTAG